CCCAGCATCTCGAGAACAGCAGGGCCAGCTGTGTTCTCCGAGTCCAGACCCAGCATCTCGAGAACAGCAGGGCCAGCTGTGTGCTCCGAGTCCAGGCCCAGCACCTCGAGAACAGCTGTGTAGGTGCGTTCCCAGCACCCTGAATGGAGGGACGTGGAGGAGAAGGGATTATGGTGGCCGTGCCCCACAGGCGTGCTTTCCTTTTCTCTGTCTCTGTCTCTCCCCCCCACTTTCTGTCCCTCTCTGGCCAGTATATGTACCCTCTGCCCCTCCCCCCAGTGGCTTGTTCCAGGTTAATAGAGAGGAGGTGACAGAGCCGATTGGAATCCAGCTCGGTTGGCTCCCTCTGTGCGGTGCTGGCCTGCTGCCGCGTGTTCCGTGCTCTGCGATCACTCGCAGCAGTGAGCGTGTGTCAGACAGCGCTCCAGCTCCAGGTCTTCAGCCCCCAGCCTGCCCTTCTGCTTTCCGTGGTCTCTGACTTGGGGTTCTGCCTGTCACCTTACTGTAATGCTACTGAAACACAGGAGCGTTCATTTTGTACGAGTGTTCTTATGTGTGCTGGGAGGAGATACACGTGTGTGCATACGCGTAATGTATGTTTGTCTATAAAACTATTCCTGGTCTTGTAGAAAGCGTACTTGTTATTGTACAAATCAGCAACACAGAAAGTATGGAAACTAAAGAACAAACACCCCGTGGAGATCAGCAGTTGTGAAGATTTCGGCTACCGTGCTTGGAAACATCTACGTATTTATAATACACACACACTCATACACAAACGGTACCAGCTCGACAGTGATCGTGAAGTAGCCGTGTACTAGCTCTGTGTCCTGGCTCCGGGCAGGGCGGCTCTATGCCTTCTGTCACTGGTTTCTCACATTAAAGCCCTTTGAGGTATGCAACGCTGCCCAGTTCTGCTCTGAAGGGTACCGACAGTTAGAGCAGTGAGGTGATTTGCCCAAGGTCAAGTAGTGCTGAGGTCGCCCGTGGTGGGAGCGTGGGTGGGCTGCCGTGGCAGGGTTTCAGCTGGCCGCACCGCAGGTACCTAAGTTAACATCTCTTCTTCGGGGAAGAAGCGAGGAGTGCCGTCTTACCGGGGAGAGTGGCCCTGAAGCCACAGCCCGCGCGCCGGCCAGTGCGTTCTGTGCAGCCGCGGAGAATGGCCTGAAGACCAAGCTCGTACTGCTGTGCCGCGTGTAACATTAGGTTGTTGGGAGAGTCGTAAGTATTCTTCTGTTTTTCTGTGCAGAACTGCGTCATGACTTTCCCGGCAGCCCAACAGCTATGACGGTGCGTAAGCGCGAGTACGCCATGCATGCTTTCCTACGGCTCGCTCCTTGGATTTCCGGAGGCGTTTATTCTGTAACAATAAGTCATAATTTACACAATCTTCAATCACGTTCTCACCCACCAGTGGTGGTGCCTGCACTGTTAACGAGGCTGCCTTCCCGTTGACTGTCCAGACTCCTGTGCACGCTGTCTTCCTCAACCTGTCCCTTGCTGGCGCACATGGAGCCTTGTGCTGTTTGAAATCACACAGGAGCGAACATCTCACGCCCTCCTGGTTTTGGCTTGTTCTGGAGCCACTCTGGAGTTAGGGAGCCCAAGTTTGCGTGTGCTTGGTCTGCCGCTTTCGCAGTGCGGGATTTTGGCAAGTCGCTTCAGCTCTCCATCCTGCAGGCTCCGTCTGTAAAGCAGGAAACGGCAGAAGCCATCGCTTGGCCATTACCCCAGGATTAAGGCAGTCCCAGCGGAGAAGGGGTGTAGGGTCGTCCCTGGGATGTGAGAGGGGCTCGTGAATGCTTTAGGGACCGTGTCAGTGGCACTGGCTGCAGTTGTCACTTGAGGTTCAGGGATTGCTGCTGTGGATACCGTGAAGAGGACACCGCCTTGAGGGGTCACCCCTGCCCCTATGAGGCCGTCAGCACAGAGTCTGTACTTCCTGAGATGCGGACATGCCCTCGGGGCCGAGGGAGTGTCTGTGCTCATTCGCCTGTTTGGGCCCTTTTCCTTTTTAGTTTTAGCCCAGTAATTCCTTACTGTCTTGACAGTGGTTTGAAGCCTTTAGAAGTGTTTCTGTTTGCTTCTTTTTAACGGTCTTACTTGACTTTTTGGGTTATTTTACTACAAAGATTGAACCAAAAATACTAGTCTACTATTACTGGAAAGGGGGGGGGGTCACTCGGACTTTTCCTTTTAAATCAGTACTGGTCTCTAATCATTTTTTCTTTTTCTTTTTTTAATTGCCAGAGACAGAGAAGGAGAAAAAGAGGGAGCACCCCCTCCCCCATGAGGCATGGTCACACAGCAGTCTCTTCTCCTCCATTTCTCTGTCCCGTTGGGACTCTGCACAGGCCAGCAGGGCCCAGACTTGAACCGTGTTTGTCCAGGTGGGATCTAGACCCCTTAAGCACTAGGCTGTGGGGCCAGCCTTGCTCTCTAACCCCTAATACTTGGCAGTCACGGAAGGTGACTCGAGCGGCGCCGTGGGAACTAGACATGGGGCTGCGTTTGGAGTGACTGGGCCTGGGCTAGGGCTCTGGCCTCCCAGGTAGCTGAGGTGCCAGGATGTTGGCTCGCCCTACCTCATAGGCACGCCAGCGGGGCCCACTCCCGTTACAGCGCAGTTACGGAGGGCCACACCTGCAGCACGTTAGATGCCTTCAGAGGGGCTGCGGCCCTGACAGCTCCTCGGCCGGCACTACCGCCATGTGCAGCAGATGACTCCCTGTGGGAGGCTGCCTTGCACAGGAGGGTGTTCAGCAGTGTACACGCCTCTCCCCATAGGAGGGTGTTCGGCAGCGTACACGCCGCTTGCACGCCTCTCCCCGCAGGAGGGTGTTCGGCAGTGTACACGCCTCTCCCCACAGGAGGGTGTTCGGCAGTGTACACGCCTCTCCCCACAGGAGGGTGTTCGGCAGCGTACACGCCTCTCCCTCCCAGAAGCAGTTTCACCCCCGCAGTCGTGAGGCTAAAAATGTCTCCAGACTTTGCCTGATGTCCCTGGGGCTGGGGGTGGGGCGCAGGGTGCAGAACGGCCCCAGCTGAGAATCTGCTGTGGAGTAGGCAGCCCAGACCTGCACCCGAGGGTCCCAGACCTCAGGAGCATCAGCACCCCCCGGAGGGCCTAGTCAGAGGACAGCGCTGAGCCCCGCCCTCCCAGCCTCTGACTCCTGCCCTGGGGAGGGGGAGCGCGTCCAGCTTGTCCCACTCCAGGGGGTGCTGAGCCTGCTCTGAGGACCCTGCTTTTGAGAGCCGCTGGTGTCGAGAAAAAGCGTGGCTCGGAAATGAGGGGACTGCAGTGCCGACGTGGCCCCTGATGGCAGCTGGGTGGCGCGGGTGAGGCGCCGTGCTCCTCCTCCTTCGGTCAGAGCAGGGTGGGCCGACGTCGCTCTCGGCCCCACGTTTACCTGTGACGCCCTCCAGAGTGCGGGTGTGGCCCACCCAGGCCTGTTCCGGTAGCCAGAGGCACGTGCTCCTTCCCCTCCCTTTTCTCGCTCTTATTCAGTATGTGCCTTGAGGCCTAAGGAAGAGGTAAGGGTCAGAAAAGAACCGCGTGCTGAGCGTCCACGCTGTGAGAAAGCATCTTTGGGAGAGCTGCGGCCCCACGTGGAGTCAGCCACCTAACGAGAGGCAGCACCGGGGCAGCGCCCACGGGAAGGGCTTCCTCGTCTGTCTCGAGCCTGTGGTTTCTACCGTGGTTCTACTGTGGGTGCTGGGCCTTTTTGTAAGAAGGAATACAGACAACGCTGCACACCTCATGGGATGGAACGCAAACAGAACTCTTGGAAACTAAAGCAGTGCTATTTTGGATGGGAAAAACACTTATCTCGTACATTCTAGGAGGAAATCAAAAATAGGGGCGGCCTGATGATCAGAAATGGAACGTGAGGAAGAAAAACTCGCTTTCTGAGGCGACGAACCACATTTATCCTATGCAGGATGTCTTAGATCACCACTCTCTTAGGCGTACCCCGCCTTTCTTTACATTAGCCCCGCCTTCCCTCTAGCTCCTCCAGTCAGAACAGATGCTGAGCGATGCCTCCCTCCTGCCACACAGCAGCTGGGAAGGGACCGCGTGGTCAGCACTGGTCTCTAGACCCCAGGCCTTAGGTGTTCAAAACCTAGGAGCCCTGTTGGCTTCGAGGGCCACATGGGTGCCTTCAGATCCTGCGCGGTCTGCTCTCAGATGTACATCATTCTACTCCTTGGTGTCCCCACCTTCAAAATGAAATAGCTTCATCCCTGCCTCGCCAGGAGATGCTTGAAATTCCCGCAGTAATCATTCAGCCGTTTCCCACTTCTGAAGGCCCTCGCTCGACTAGTCCTCAGAAATTCCCTTCCTCCCTTGCTTGCTTTCCTTTTGAAAGAGTTACTTGTTTGATTTCATTAACAGTAATAATAACAATAATAATTATTGTTTTTTAAAATTGCTATAGGGCACGTGAGCTCACCAGAGAGACAGAGAGAGAGAAGAGAGAGAGACAAAATGAGAAAGCAAGCCACCAGGTCTGGCTCAGATCAAACTGTGATCAGTCATGTGGGAGTCCAGCAACTTAGCCGCCTGTGGGACCCCTCACTTGGTTTCTTGAAACACACGTAGCATGCCAAAACCTTGGAATCTGTTTATTCTTTCAATTCTTAGTCCATTTGGTTTATTGATTTGTTTGTTTATTCATTCCTTCCACTTCCCTAGCCTCCGTGGAAAAGACAGATATGCCAAAGCATCCTTGGAGTAATTAGATCTCTCCTTCATCTTCGCCGTGTTGTGCCAGCTCGTGTGGGTTGGCTCTATTTATGCCTCTAGTGGGTTTGGTTTGTGACTTCCAAGCACAGTTACATTGGAAAGAAAGGCATGACATGGGTGAGTTTGTGAAGGCTAGGAAATTAGGGTTAATTATGGGACCTACCTCAGAACGGCAGAGCCTCAGGGAGCTCAGAAAGCCTGTGAATCAGATGTGTCATTTTTCCTCTTTAGGAGACCCACGAGTGACACAGTTGGAGAGAATTCAGAGGAGCATTAAGGACTAGATGTTCTGGAAAAGAGGCACCCCCCCCCAAACCCAGCACCAAATTTCAAGATGATTTGACCTAAGACTAAGCAATTATTTTTATTTATTTTTTTTTGGGGGGGGAGAGGTTTTTGCTATAGGGCTCGTGCGCTCGCCAGAAAGACAGAGAGAGAAGGAGAGACAGAAAGTGAGATATTACCCCCCGTGGGGATGGCCACGCAGCAATCCCTTCTCCTCTATTCTCTTGGGATCTTGGGCATGCACACGCACGCGCCCGGCATGAGTTTAAGTCACCGGGCCTGGGACTCGAACTATGGTCAACTACATGGGAGTCCAGCTACATAGCCATTATGCTAACTGCTGGTCCCAGAAGACTAAGCAATTCTTAATCATTGGAAGGATTTTCACAAATGAAGAGGATGTGAATGAGGCAGAAGCAAAAACGAGCCAGATCAGAAAGAACTTATTAATCAGTTCACTGCAACACGTAATAAACTATGTTTAGCTATTTTAAAGCTATTTTAGAGACGTTATTGAAAACTTGGAGAAGACAAGATTGTCCCGTGCTCTTTCAGGGTCACTCAAGGCATTCGTCTAGCAGCATACGGCATTCTTAGAGAAGGTGACTATTTGACTTACTTCTTTTTTTTTAAACTTTTTTTTTTTTAAGCAGCATCTCACTGTGTGATCATCTTGTCTCAGCCTCCCAGCTGGGACTCCACAGACTTACTTCTTTTTTTTTTTTTAGCCAGGCCCTGGCTTTTTTTAGCCAGGCAACCTCAAACTTGTGATCCTCCTGCCTTGGCCTCCCAGAGTTCTGGGCCCTTCCCTTCGATCTGCGTCCCGGGCCCTTCCCTTTGATAGTACTGGGAATCCCACTCAGCTTCCGCATGATCTCAGCCTGCGGAGTGCAGCATCTCAGCATGTATGCAGCAGAGCTGGGCCTTTACTTTTAATTAGTGTCCAGACTCTGTAAAGTTACAAGTGAACAACTGATAAGTTACAAATGGTTTTTGTCTGGTAGAGAGCTAAGTGGTTTCTGTTTAGTAGAAAAGATAATAACAAAAGTTATGTTTCCTTGCTGTGGGGGACACTAACCAGTTTTGTATCTAACTTTGCAAGATTATTACAGCATTCTTTTCTTCCAAAGATTACACATATGTTTCTTTTCTTTTACTTTTTAAACATGAACTTTACTGTGTATATTTTGGGTTTATAAAATGATGTTGTGAAATGCATACAGAGATAAACATAGCTCCATGTAGATGAACAAGTATCATCTCACACTGTTCCGTTGCTTTTGTATGATAAGAGGAGCTAAAGTCTATTTCACAAATGTTTTTAAAATCTATGTTCTTTTATGTGTAGAAAAGCAACTTTTTGTTTCATAGATCCTTTGGTGCCATCATCTGGCTTGGCAAATAAGGCAGCCGGTTCCCACATGGCCAACCACACGGTTTGAGGCCTGGACCTGCAGTCTGGAAAACAAGCTCGTGCGTGTGCCTGCGAGGCCCGGATCCCCGGTGGAGGGAGTAACGGACAAGAAGTTGTGGCGCCATGGCCCTGCCACACGGGGGGAGGTGCCCTGCTGTCTCCCACCCCTTCTCGCCCCAGTGAGCGCATACACCCTCTGGCAAAATTTAGAAAGAAAAGCATAGCTCTTTTGTATTTTGCTTGTTTGTTTCATTTATTTCTGCTCTCACCCTTCCTCTCCTTTCCTTGTGCTGTGCTGGTTTTACGTTTGGTGTGTGCTTGCTTTTCTGGCCCCTGAGCTGCATCGCTAGGTTATTTGAAACCTTTCCGCTTCTTGGATGTGTGTGTTCCTTGTGTTACCCTTGAATTGGCCTTACCATCCTGCTGGCTCCTTTATTAGTGAGTTAAATCCGCCTTTGACATGCTGTATAGTTGGATGAGAGTTACATTTTTAGCTTTTTAAAAATTAGACTTTGAGCCCACAAACATCTTGGATGGTGTAGACTGTTGCCCGGAAGTAGGAGTTTGACTAAATGACTTTGAGGTCCTTTCAGCCCAGCATTTTCATAGTTCTGGTTGCTTTCTAAATTCTCCAGTCACATGGATAGTAAATTCCACTTACGGGTTATCTAATTGTACTCACGACTGAAAAAAGACTTAAACATGCCCGCCTTGCCAGGCTTGTCGTGGCACAAGGCGGAGAGGGACCGCCTTTCACGGTCACTCCAGTACTGTTGCCGACTCAGGTGGGCGTACAGCATACAGAACACCGGCCCACGCGCTACCTGTCCTCCTCGTTTCGGAGGAGGGAGCAGGACAGGACTCATCGCCTCTCAGAGGTGAATAGCCAGGGACTCCGGCAGGTCAAGTGACTTGCCAGGACATTCAGCAGGGAAGGAATGGGGCTGAGACACGGCCCCGGGGTTCACGCGTGAGCCTCCTTCAGCCGCATCGTGGAGCCAAGTTTCTAGGGGACGTGGATAAGGACAGTGAGTTGAAGTGAGGAAGAACAACTAGCTCCCAGAGCAGGTAGGAGCCCTGTGCCGCGGCTGCGCCTCAGCGTGTGGCTTCCATTGTGTGCTGCCACGCCAGCTCCCTGAGAGCGTGGGTTCTGTTCCCGACTGTGCAGGAGACCTGAGCTGGTCTGATCTTCCTTGGCCTCAGGGATGAGGCAGTGCTAGACATGGGGCAGGTGCCAGCAGGCGTTTCTTGACTGCGTGTGTATTTTGCTTGACACGCCTTTATCTTCTGGCTTCTCCCTATTCCTGGAAAGGCTTTCTTGGCAAATTTCAGTGTGTCAGGGTGACCCTGGAGCAGCTGCACGCGTTCGTTTCAAAGGATAATCTGCCCTATTATTCAATGCTTGCTCCAGAAAGAGCATGCTGACTTGATCCAATCTCATCTTTCTCTGAGATCTAAGTCCACAAACCATCGATTAATTAACTCAGCAGATGGGTGACCCTGCTGCCAGGCTCTGGGGTCACGCGGGGAGGACGAGGCAAGGTGCGGCGAGGCCCTTCCTTGCATGGGTTTACACGTCCTTTGGGTTAGGGATGTGCTGGTGCCCTCAGGGTTTCTGTTGAAATCGCCCAGCCCTTGCTATGCTTTATTAGCTCACCAAACGATCCAACAGAGAAAGACCACCTCTAAGACTTGCCCAAAACCAGCAGCTTCTCTGTCCGCTGCTGCCAGCCGGGCCCACACTCCACCTCCTCAGGCTCGGACTCCGGCAACAGCGTCTGACCGGTCTCCTTGCTTCATCCTTGTTTCAAAAATGATAGCCAGGCTGTGTAACTCCCCTGCCTAAAGCTTCCTGGTGGCCCTGGCTTGTAAAGCCCTGCTTGCCTATCCGGCCTCCTTCCCCCTCCACCTCGCACACCCAGGGAGGGGGAAGGACACCACGCCTGTCTCCTGCCACCCCGCCTTTGTACAAGCTGCCTCCTCTGCGGAGCGAGCTGTCCTTGATATTTGCACGACTGGTCTCTTCTTGTCATTCACATCCCAGCTAATGTCACCACGATAGAGGGGATGTGGTCACCTACCCTAAATTCTCCGGCCCCACCCACTCTCCGGCCCATAGCCCCATTTTGTAATCTTTTAAAAGTTCATTTTTCACCGGGCTTCCTGCATTAGACCCTCACCACCAGGAGCCGGAGCACCGGCCATGACTGCTGTCCGCAGCGTGCAGACCGTCTGCAGGGAGGAGCGCTCTGAGCTCTGCTTGTGAACGAAAAGTCACTCTCGTAACTGCTCCGGGAGTGCTTATCTTATGGAAGAGACTCATGGAGACTGGGACGCAGAAATAATTACTACTCTTTTGAGCAGTGGTAAATTAAAAAATACCGGGTTGCCAGAAAAGTCATGACGTGTTTCTCTATGTTTTCCTATGCAAAAATGCATCATGACTTCCAGCAACCCAATATATTACAATTTTGTTTGCTTTATGGTAGAATGGTTCTTTTTGGTAGCTTTCAGTTTAAGTGGAATTCTTTTTTTTTTTTTTTTTGAGAGGCTTTTGCTATAGGGTGCTTGTTTGTTTCATTTATTTCTGCTCTCACCCTTCCTCTCCTTTCCTTGTGCTGTGCTGGTTTTACGTTTGGTGTGTGCTTGCTTTTCTGGCCCCTGAGCTGCATCGCTAGGTTATTTGAAACCTTTCCGCTTCTTGGATGTGTGTGTTCCTTGTGTTACCCTTGAATTGGCCTTACCATCCTGCTGGCTCCTTTATTAGTGAGTTAAATCCGCCTTTGACATGCTGTATAGTTGGATGAGAGTTACATTTTTAGCTTTTTAAAAATTAGACTTTGAGCCCACAAACATCTTGGATGGTGTAGACTGTTGCCCGGAAGTAGGAGTTTGACTAAATGACTTTGAGGTCCTTTCAGCCCAGCATTTTCATAGTTCTGGTTGCTTTCTAAATTCTCCAGTCACATGGATAGTAAATTCCACTTACGGGTTATCTAATTGTACTCACGACTGAAAAAAGACTTAAACATGCCCGCCTTGCCAGGCTTGTCGTGGCACAAGGCGGAGAGGGACCGCCTTTCACGGTCACTCCAGTACTGTTGCCGACTCAGGTGGGCGTACAGCATACAGAACACCGGCCCACGCGCTACCTGTCCTCCTCGTTTCGGAGGAGGGAGCAGGACAGGACTCATCGCCTCTCAGAGGTGAATAGCCAGGGACTCCGGCAGGTCAAGTGACTTGCCAGGACATTCAGCAGGGAAGGAATGGGGCTGAGACACGGCCCCGGGGTTCACGCGTGAGCCTCCTTCAGCCGCATCGTGGAGCCAAGTTTCTAGGGGACGTGGATAAGGACAGTGAGTTGAAGTGAGGAAGAACAACTAGCTCCCAGAGCAGGTAGGAGCCCTGTGCCGCGGCTGCGCCTCAGCGTGTGGCTTCCATTGTGTGCTGCCACGCCAGCTCCCTGAGAGCGTGGGTTCTGTTCCCGACTGTGCAGGAGACCTGAGCTGGTCTGATCTTCCTTGGCCTCAGGGATGAGGCAGTGCTAGACATGGGGCAGGTGCCAGCAGGCGTTTCTTGACTGCGTGTGTATTTTGCTTGACACGCCTTTATCTTCTGGCTTCTCCCTATTCCTGGAAAGGCTTTCTTGGCAAATTTCAGTGTGTCAGGGTGACCCTGGAGCAGCTGCACGCGTTCGTTTCAAAGGATAATCTGCCCTATTATTCAATGCTTGCTCCAGAAAGAGCATGCTGACTTGATCCAATCTCATCTTTCTCTGAGATCTAAGTCCACAAACCATCGATTAATTAACTCAGCAGATGGGTGACCCTGCTGCCAGGCTCTGGGGTCACGCGGGGAGGACGAGGCAAGGTGCGGCGAGGCCCTTCCTTGCATGGGTTTACACGTCCTTTGGGTTAGGGATGTGCTGGTGCCCTCAGGGTTTCTGTTGAAATCGCCCAGCCCTTGCTATGCTTTATTAGCTCACCAAACGATCCAACAGAGAAAGACCACCTCTAAGACTTGCCCAAAACCAGCAGCTTCTCTGTCCGCTGCTGCCAGCCGGGCCCACACTCCACCTCCTCAGGCTCGGACTCCGGCAACAGCGTCTGACCGGTCTCCTTGCTTCATCCTTGTTTCAAAAATGATAGCCAGGCTGTGTAACTCCCCTGCCTAAAGCTTCCCGGTGGCCCTGGCTTGTAAAGCCCTGCTTGCCTATCCGGCCTCCTTCCCCCTCCACCTCGCACACCCAGGGAGGGGGAAGGACACCACGCCTGTCTCCTGCCACCCCGCCTTTGTACAAGCTGCCTCCTCTGCGGAGCGAGCTGTCCTTGATATTTGCACGACTGGTCTCTTCTTGTCATTCACATCCCAGCTAATGTCACCACGATAGAGGGGATGTGGTCACCTACCCTAAATTCTCCGGCCCCACCCACTCTCCGGCCCATAGCCCCATTTTGTAATCTTTTAAAAGTTCATTTTTCACCGGGCTTCCTGCATTAGACCCTCACCACCAGGAGCCGGAGCACCGGCCATGACTGCTGTCCGCAGCGTGCAGACCGTCTGCAGGGAGGAGCGCTCTGAGCTCTGCTTGTGAACGAAAAGTCACTCTCGTAACTGCTCCGGGAGTGCTTATCTTATGGAAGAGACTCATGGAGACTGGGACGCAGAAATAATTACTACTCTTTTGAGCAGTGGTAAATTAAAAAATACCGGGTTGCCAGAAAAGTCATGACGTGTTTCTCTATGTTTTCCTATGCAAAAATGCATCATGACTTCCAGCAACCCAATATATTACAATTTTGTTTGCTTTATGGTAGAATGGTTCTTTTTGGTAGCTCCCAGTTTAAGTGGAATTCTTTTTTTTTTTTTTTTT